TAAAATTGAAGTTTTTAGGAAGAAAAGTTAAACTTCTAACTTCTAAACCCAGCAAATTTTACAGAAAAAGTATGATAATACATCACACAATGGTCTAAATTAATATTAAAGGTAAAAGTAACAGCTTCGATGAAATACTTAATACCGGACAGCAGTCTGTTCCATAATATACAGTACTACCGGTTGTAAGTAGCAAGCGATCATTGGTATCTCCATCTATGAACGCGGGACGAACTGTTAGGTCTGCCAAGTCTGCGATGTAAAGACTAAAGATCTTAAAGATGTGTAACTTGTACACATTACTGTGCTGACCTGTATGCGATATTATTGTGAGTTATAAAAAATAACATCATATAAATGTTTGTCACAAGAAGTAACTAAAAAGAAGTACAATAGATGTTTATGTAACTACTAATTCAAGTATTCCAGAGTATATAAAACTATATTTGTAAATATATGCAAGGAATATTAATGAATATGATGTTAAAATTTAAACATCTATGAGATATTTTATCAAGAAAAGTCTCTATAAGAAACGTTAGAAAAAAGACTGGTAATGTTTCATGTTTAGTGGGCGTATGTATCCTTTTAGAAAAAAATGGGTTTAAACTTTCCATATCCCCACTTAGTACTACTATGGAAGATGGTATCAAAGAAATAATGAAAGTTTCGTTGCCATCAACACCAAAATATTTCTTTATTAATTTATTTAATTTTAATGTCAGAAATGTCAAAAGTCGACAGATAAAAAATAGGGAGAATATGCGTTGTTTTCTCTCTAATGTGACGCTTATGATCGCAATGGTTTCTGTTGATTTTAGTTGGCCATAAAACACATAGTATTTGTTTTAAGTTTGATCTTTTAAAATGGCTGATTTCTAGAGATTAAAGAGAAACAGACATTTTTATTTAAATTTGTTGGCCTCTAGCGACCAAACGAAGCAAGTTGGTATATAGGTAAAATTGGTTCAATTAACTTATTTTGAACGCATAAATCTATGGTAGCTGCATGCAGGTACACCTGATATTGATATGGATATATCAATTTAATTTACCAATTTTTTCTAAAATTTAAAAGAATCTCAAAAGGGGTGACTCGTTTCTAAAAATTTACAACCAATAAGTATATACCAAAATGATTAAACATAAGAGTAATACATTTCCAATTTTTTCTCTGCTCACTCTTAGTCTTCTGCTTCGGCTCCCTCTAACTCCTTTTTTATTTCTTTTATTCTATTACAATTTAACATTTAATATTCAAAAAGAAACACACCAAAAATCTCTCTGATATTCTCAATTTCCATCTGAAAATTCACAAAATTAACAACCCAACAAAAACCCCAAAATACCGATTTTCTAATAAAAATTTTGATTTCTAAAAACTTTCCATATCAATATGTTTTCACACTTAAATAGTATTTCAGTGATTGAGTGGGCATACTTTTTTTGTAATTTATTTTAAGTACAAACGTATACTTACTGTTTATTCATTTTCTTTGTCATTCGATTGTCTAGCCACTTATTATTATTCCCTCATTCCTTTTCAAAATACTCCAAGCATTTGCGAAGCCTTGGCGTTTCTACACATAAGGACTATCAGTCTTTAATCAGTTGCCAAAATCGCTCAACTATGCTATTGTATTAAATGATTATTTTGTTTTTAATTTATTTTCTTCCATAATTTTTCCTTCAACACTAAAGCTTATGACAGTGCTGCCCCATACCTTAATAGTACATCGGCGATAACTATTTAAACTAGTCAAAGACTAGTTAGAGACCTATCAGTTGTTACACTGGTGAGAGAAAGACTTATTGGTTACAACAGTGGCGACAACAGTGTTTATCCCTATTTAGAGCCTTTATTTATTTATTTATTATATCATTTTAAAACTTAAGTTTATCACCAAATGAGACTCGAAACCTCTTGAACGCTATACAAATTTTTGGGGAGCCACTACACCAACAATATTTTTCGTCGTTCTCTTGTGTCAGTATTTGAAATATTCAGGTCAATATTTGCATATAAATATATACCTATTACTTAATAAAAGAAATACGCATAATATAATTTAATTTAAAATTTTTATTGTTTACATATAATTGGTTTTGGTCAATATTATAGCCTTACTGGTTACGTAAACATCTCTTATTTCATATAGGTATATGGTGGCCCATTAGAGTGTGGAAGTACTATTATTTTCAATTTGTCAGTTAAAATAGAAATTTGTCAAAAACTGTTTCTTTTATGTTCTATACTAGGGATTCTCAAATTATTTTGAGCAATAGACCCCTGTTCGAAAATACACTGATACATATCAGACCCCCATAGCCAAATTACATTAAAAATCCTATATCTAGTTTTTTCCTATTGATAAAAATACTAATCAATTTAAAAACTGCGGTTGGTTAAGTAAGTAAACATGACATCATTTTTTCATCAAAATTTAACAAAATAAATAGACATAAAATTCAGTAAATATCAAGTGTAATTAATAATTATTAATACAAATTACGTAAAATTACTTAAGTAGGTAATTATTAAAAAAAAAAAAAAAACATTAAAATCGCAAAGTAAAGATAAAAAAATTAAAAATTCAGTGTGATGGATGAACCTGGTGGCTTTCTACCAATCTAGCTAAATCTGGTTCAATGTTGGTGAGTTGCAGCCTTAAATCTCCGCGTTCGTTGATTTTCAAACGGTTTCTTTGTTTTGTCAAAATGTTTGTAACCACACTGAAGCCTTTTTCGACTAGGTATGATGATGGAAAAGCGATAAGGTATTTTTCAGCAATGATCCGCAATACAGGATCTGTGTTTCAATGTTGCGCTGCAACCAGAACTGCTGATAGCCTTGCTTGAACTTCTGCTTAAGCTCCTCTTCTATGCTGATGGTGATCAACTCTTTTTGCATTATCACATTGGCTTCTTCCATGGCTTTGATATTGTACAGAAATCCTCAAAGATTTTAGTAAAATCCTTGAGTAATGCGTCCAAGTGAGTATGATAAAATAACATCGTCTTGAAGCATTTCTGGTAATTTTGACAAATGCGGAAACTGTGAATATTCTTTTCTGCTTAAATGTTTTTTATAAAGGATAAAGTTTACCCACAAAGGCCGATATAATTGATTTTGTTTTAATCAAGTTGAGATTGTCGCCCTGAAGCTACAAATTAACTTTGTTAAACATACTAAAGATATCAGTCAAGTATAAATATCTGTTTAACAATTGTTCAGATTTTCTTTCAAATTCGGATCTTTTTCTTGTAAAAATTCTAACCCAGATTCAAAACTAGCTGAAAAACTTGCTAAGCAGGAACCTTTTGATAGCCAGTGTGCATAAGTAACCGAGTAAAGACTTCGTTGTTTTCCTCACATAACCAAGAGAACAGACTAGCTTCGAATCTTGTTGATAGCATTTATAACATATTGTAAATACTAGTGCAATCTATCACGACCAACCATAGATGGTACACCATCAGTTGCAGCAGAAACAATTTTCTTCTATGAAATACGTTTGGCACATCTTTAATATATTGAACATATCCTAACAACAGAGCTTCATTGCCGGGTATCGTAGACTCGTCCAACTGAAGATAGAATCTGTTGCTCTATAAGAAATTCCATAAAATGAACGGTCTTATTGCTCAAAGGAATTCTCTTTGTAATATCATGTGCGGGCTTGTGCAATACATTATTGAGGACCTCGGCAATGGCTGGTAAAATAGGCTACTTTCATTTGTGTGGGGATTCCCGACTTCGCTATTAGTAAATATATATTATAGGACGCTTGTCAACCATCAACGTCCTGCGTAGATGATAACGCAAACATCGATCTTATGGATGGCCTTTTCTTAGTTTTTCTTTAAGTGCTCAAAAGAATGACTAGGACTAACTTTTTTTGTCAGCATATACTCTTGATAAGTGGTCCTCCTTTTTTGAAAGCTTCATAGTATCGTTACTGAATACTTTTTCACATATGAGACACATCGGCAAGTGTTGATTTGATAGAGATGGAATAAATCCAAACTCAAAGTAGTCCAAACTGTAATAGAGAGTTGAAGTGATGTTATGAACGTAAACGTATACGTGAGATTTGACATCTGCGCATGCGTATTAAAATATCCTTCACGTATACGTCTACGTACATACGTAAAGTTACGGGCTCTGGCGTATACACGTAACGCAAACAAAATAACCTCTTTTTAATTGGAAAAAAAAGAAATCCCAATATAAATTGTCATTATTTGTCATGACACGTAAATGTCACGATGAGATTTAACAACTTCAACTCATATTTTGTACAGCAACGTAAACATTATTTTTTAGCATTCACGTTTACGTTTACTTTAACGTACTGGAAATGCTTCAACTCTCTATTGTCTGCATTTTTTTCGTGTTTGTCATCATAAAACTCGCAGTAAACCTGCAAATCAAAAAAAATATGTATTTAAGAAACTACTTAAAAACAATACTAAAACTGTTAAATTTGCACACGAGCTTATTTTTCTCACACCTAGGCACTGGTTATTTTTTAGGTATGCTCACGAACTTACTAATTGATAACCGTAGTATAGAACATTTTTTGTATTAGGTACCAATCAGCGTAAAAATCGAAAACAAAGAAAATTGAACCTTTATAATTTTAGGTAACAACTTTTCTAAAGTAATTTCAAAAAATACCTTTTTTTTGTTAACGTAGGTAACTAAGCATTTTGTAAATTCTTATTCAATCACTTTATTTTAATTTACTTTATTTAACCATGTAATCACTTTGTAATCTCTTGAAATAAATTAGTAGATGAGTGCATTATTTTTTAAGCTTCAACGAATTTCAAAACGCAAATGAACAAATGAACCTAGGTGCAAGCTTGTTTGGACTTGAACTTGATCATGATTTCGTTTATAAAATAAGACATTATATAATAGGTTTTGTTATAAGGAGTCTTCAATATTACCCAAAAAATTATGAAAGTATCTAGCTGTATATTCTTATTTTTAGAATCATTCTCGACTTGTAAGAGCAGCAGACGCTTCCCTCAAACCAATGAGTCCAGCTAGCACCTTAGGATACAGACAAGGACCGATAGTACATACAAGCGGACCACCATTTCCCGTTTCATTCTTTAAGCTCAGACTTCACCTGAATTCCAGTTTTACAATCGAAGTAAGTACCTATTTAAAATTTGTTTTAATATTTTTAACCTTAAACCCTACATATGAAGTGCCCAGATTTTAAAACATTAATTATGTATTTTATTTATTTTCAATTCCTTGCAAGAAGTTTTCATTATTTTAATTTTTTTCCACCAACTTCTAAATTTAAATTTCATTATTTCTTCTTCGGATCATTCTTTGTAGCTCAAATTTAGTATTCATTATTGTCTATCTCCGAAAATTAGAGATCCTCTAAAAGTAGGTATACATTTTTAATATAACCTAATAGAAGTAAGGGTAAAACTTAATGAAGCAATTTACGTTGCTGCACTTAGCCGCCCTTGGACACATCGACATTCTGTCACTGCCGATTGTTCTTAAGACAACCAATCATGAAGCTAGTTTCAGGTATTAGCCTGCATAAAAGGGCAGTACTCCATTTGTGCACGATCTACTGATATTATTTAACCACTTTGTTTTAACCCTAAATCATTGTTTTTAGGAAAGGATTTTGCACGTTGGTTTGTGCTTGCCACATTCTTGTTCTGCCAATGATGTTAAAAAAATTGTGGAGGAGACATCATCGTCATCGTCTAAACTTGCTATAAAAGTTGAAGCGGTAAGATCAGAACATAACAGATACAATTTCTGGACAGACACGACTTTCATAGCATTGTGGTAAGTAAAAAAAAAACGATAAAAGTAACTATAAGAGTAAATATTTTTAAAATACTTAGGACAGCTGAACCATAACTTGTTATGACGAATTTTGGGAAAAATTTAACTATTATGGCATCATAGAACATCTTATGTTAAGACACAAACTTTGATACCCCTCTGTTTCTAATTTAATATTTTGAAAAAATTAGTAATACAGTTAGTCTTTTTTATGATAATTTACTTACTTAGAAAAAAAAATACAATGTGGTCATCATATTAATAATTTTATAAATATAAAAATAATATTGAGTTACGCTTAAAGTCTGTGTGATAAGATTTTTTTAATTTTCAGCATAGCAACGGCAGGAATAGTCTTCATGCTGATTGTTGGTACAGCTTTTGATTACTATTTAGAACACCTCAAAAACTGTAACATGAAAGACAAAAATTGCACTCATTTTAACGGAAAATTGGATATGACATTACCAGATCTCAAAACTAAGAATGGTGAGTAAAAAAATAAAATAACACAAATATTTTTATCACCAATATACTTTAAATGTTGTACATAATAGTTTAATATGAGCTTCATATTTTACAGATAAATGTGGACTTTACATAGTCAACAATAACAACAATGCTTGCAACAACATCGATGAACAAAACCGTAGTGTAGAGCTTAATAGTAGTAATGCTTCTAAATCACGCAAGTCGCTTATGAGTATGTACATTATTTCTGCTGTAGATGTATAGTAATAATGTCTGGTAGAATGATCTCATGATATTAGAATTTAAAATCTATTATAGAATAAATAACAGCTTTAGGTACCTACCCCTGATGGGAGAAAAATGGGTCAAAAGCTGAGTAGAATAAAGATTATAAGCCAAAACTTTCAGCACTAACTTTATTGGTATATCGTTGGTACATTCATTCAGCTCTTCATCGAATTATTATCTTAAAAATATAAAGTGATCCATAAAAAAGTTTCTAAAGTACTCCATGACCAACAAAGACTTACGTCCGTAAACACTACTTAAAATGAAGAAGAACTGTAAGTTCGACATAAGTCAATTTATCCAAGGCCAACTTTAGAAACATTTTTTGTGGGTCACTCCTTACCTGTTTAAACCAAAAATTCTTGATGTTCACCGTTGCAGGCAATAAAGGCGTGGTTTTTATACTCTTTTCATATACTTTCCACTTGTGCACTATTTATAGCACCTGCACACGAAACAAAACTTTGAGAGATCATTCTGTCAGATCCTGTATTATAGTTAGATAATATATATGTAGAGAGATTATTTTGCCAGATCCTGTATTATAGTTAGATGATATATGTATAATATTATTGGAATTGATGACTATGTACCTACTGTATACAAGCTATTTCATAATAGTTAAAAAGAACATTTTATACGGTAGATAGTCGAGTTGGTTCTAAACATACTATATTCAATGTGTCTTATAAGCTCTATAACTCATGTAGGTACAGTATTTTACCGATTTTGCTTATACAGAGATTTCATTTCAAAACTAGCCACCCAAAATAACTTTTAAAATATCTTTAAAACAAAAAAACACGTTAATTTATATTTACGGGGGGACACATTTTACAAGTATCTGTAACCGTGCAGTTTCAGCCCCTAAGCGGTGGTGAATATCACTTCTAAAATTTTAAATAGAAAGGGGTATCATGTGAAAGCTCTTCTTAATGGTCTCTTTTTTTCCAATCTTTTGACACATTATTTTTTTAAATCGGATTAATTTTTCACCAAGTTATAACCTAGAAACCGGAAAAAATTTAAAATATTGAATTACAATGCATGAGTATAAATACCGAGATAAACAAGTTAGCAAAAAGCCTTAAATGTTTTTGACCGTAAATTAAAACAATTTATTATTAGTAGATTATTGGTTTCGTTGTGTACTGACAATTTAATTTTGACAATGGTTTATTCTTTACAAGAAAGAATTGAAATAATCTTTATTTATGGTGAAGAACAACGCTGTGCACGCGGAACTGCTAGTGTTTTTAATCAGAGACATCCCGATAAAAATGATGGGCATCAGTATGTGTTGGATTTAGTTCATAAATTTCAAGAAACTGGAAGTGTGTGCAATAAAACTGTAAGGAATGAGATTTAACTGAAGCTGCACAAGTTGAGATTATAGGTCATTTTGCCATGGAACCTCAAACATCAATTCCAAAAGTCTCCAGATTAACAAATATTTCCGTTGGCTCTGTGCATAAAACGTTACGGCTAAATAAATTATTTCCTTACAAAATATAGCTTTTACAACAGCTTGCTGAGGATGATTATGACAGAAGATTAGAATTTTGCGAATTAATGACACAAAGGGCAAACGAAGACCATAATTTTATTAAAAATATTTGTTTTACTGACGAGGCAGATTTTTTTTTAAATGGATTTGTCAATAAACATAATTGTAGGTACTGGGACAATACAAATCCACATGTTTTTCGGGAAGAGCACAGCCAATATCCTCAGAAAATCAACGTATGGGCCGGAATTCTTGGTAATAAAATTATTGGTCCTATTTTCATCGAGGAAAATTTAACTGGGGAATTGTATTTGAACTTATTAGAAAATCTGATAAATCCTCTTATAACCGAATCCTTAGAAAACCAAATAGATCAAGATGGAAATTTGTTACTAGACGAAGAAAACCTATTTTTTCAACAGGACGGAGCACCTCCACATTATGCCTTGCCTGTACGAAATTGGCTTAATGAGACATTTCCAGATAAATGGATCGGAAGAAGGGGCGCTATAGAATGGCCAGCGAGATCACCCGACCTAACGCCCCTTGACTTTTTTTATGGGGACATCTAAAAACTGTGGTGTATAAAACTCAACCTCGCGATATTTCTGAACTTAGACGTAGAATAGTGGAGGAGTGTGAGCGGATTACACCAGAGACGCTTCAAAAAGTGCGGGATGAATTCGAGCTGCGACTTTACCATTGCCTTGCCAACAATGGCGGACATTGTAATTCTTACGCAAATAAAATATTAATAATGTAAATACAATGTAAATAATAATTATTTTAATTTAAAAGGTTAAAATGGCATAACTTGGTGAAAAATTAATCCGATTTAAAAATAATAATATGTCAAAAGATTGGAAAAAAAGAGACCTTTAAGAAGAGCTATCACATGATACCCCGTTCTATTTAAAATTTTAGAAATAATATTCACCACCGCTTAGGGGATGAAACTGCACGGTTACAGATACTTCTAAAATGTGTCCCCCCGTAAATATAAATTAAAGTGTTTTTTTGTTTTAAAGATATTTTAAAAGTTATTTTGGGTGGCTAGTTTTGAAATGAAATCCCTGTATAACGTTCGACGATTAGAACTATCAAAGAACACTGTATATTTTTTTATATTTCATACATATTATGTTTTCCTTAGAGTGACCAAGCGATTAATAGCCAGAAGAAATATTCTGGTAGATACGAATTAACAAAAATCAGTTCATTTTTGCGACCTCTAAAAACACTGTACATAAAAATTTTTAGGTTCTAATGACATAAAAAATTAATTTAAACAGTATACTTTTAGTAGTCCGTCTACGATTGTACTGCTCCAATTTGGAATCAAAATTAAAGTTTTTGAGCATTTAGTTGGTTAAATATAGAATATTATGACTTTTTAATGTTAAATAATGAAAATAGAAACTCATTTTGAAGTTAATGTAAATATTTATTATATAAGTTTCTATTTTTATAGCCGCGGACCGTTCTATAATGTACTTACAGGTCTCTACTTTGCAAACACCCTAAATAAACATAGTTGGATTTTATTATTTTTAGTATTAGTCTTCAAAAGAAATAAGTAAAATCGGCTAAACCACACTACATCCCAATAATAAATATAGTACGTTTAGAACAGCCTCAATGACGTCTATTTACCATTAAAATATTTCCTATAAAACACTCTGTATATAGTTTACTTGCCGTAAAAACTATAGTTAAATTGAGTTTTGAAAATGAATTGTCATTAGCAAGATGTTCAATTTTTTTTTGAGGACATTTCTTTCACAATCTCATATTTAGAATGGCTGTTGTCTATTAAATCTTCTATTCTATTACAATTAAAGTTTTTTGCCTATAGACTGACTATCTAGACAACATAAATAGGTCCATTGGACGTCCATTTGATATACCTTTACTTTTTGATGTCTGAAGGTTAAAACTTGAGTTTTTTATGGCGGGATGGCTGGGGAGGGGACAGCTGGTCAACAAGACCGAAATAATAACATAAGTTTAAATTTCACAATCACATTTTTAAAATGGGGCACCTAAACCTGTCACTATCTGACGGTCTATATACTGGATGTCCGAATACGGCTATGGACGTTCTGACCCTCAAATAGATCCACTCCACAATGGACGTCCATTGGAATATGTATGAGGTGTCTGGGTACTACTGGGTAGAGTACAATGTAAAGTTATTTTTGTTGATTTTTCTTATTTTAGAAACATAAAATATAGATATTTGCTACTACAAATTGTACATTACAACTAGATACCACTTGGAATTAACTATCTTCTTCATAGTTATTTACTAAAATTTAATTAAATTTCTAATAATTAGCTATAAAAAGTATACTAAAAATTCACTAATTTTTTAAATGTTATAGGATTTATCTTAAAAGAAATACTTTTGTCGTTCTCAATAAGGATCAACATGGCCTACATTTGTGACCAAAATGTGGGAAGCGATACCATTTCTGTTATTCACGGTCTCAAAGCCATAAGCATGGCTTGGGTCATTTTGGGCCACACTTGCATAATTGCTTTTAAATATTCAGGTAAGACATTTTAAAATATAATTAGAATTTAGTCTTCTTCGTTCTTTGTTTTCTTTTTTTCTATTGGTTTTATTCCCGCGATATGTTTGAGGATACTCCCACTCTTATACTGACTTTTATTTATCATAGATCTAATATTGACTTGGAATAAAAACGTGAGTGAAACAATTATTGATTCAAGGCATGGTGGATTCACAATCATTTCTTGTACAATATTTGAAACAAGAAATTAATTGTCTTGAAGTATTTTATATAGTATAAATACTATAAAAAGTATTGGGCAATAACTAAAACAAGATTTGTCTCTGCATGTTACTACCACTTACTGAAAAACAGAAAATGGAAAAATCCGTGGTGAAAACCTTAAAGTCTAAAATAATACTGCGATTTCAGCCTAAACTGCTAAGGTTCTGTGTTGGCTTTGTTACTCTTTTGCAGCGTCACTTTAGAAATCTAAAATGGATAATTCAGAACAAATTTTCCTCATAGTCTTTGCAAATGTATCAGCATATATCGCCATACGTCACTTTTGGCAGGAGGCGCTCGTTGCGCTCTCACTGCTTCAAGCGAACATGGACTCCATCTCACAGAGATATATCTTCCATAAGCCATATAAAGTTATAATAGAACAAATAGAAGAGCCAGAAGTGGCAGGTACGATTCATATCTACACCAACGGTTCTAAAACAAAACAAGGCTCAGGATGTGGAATATACTCCAGATTCTTAAATCTAAACATAAAATGGGCTGTGAGCAATAGTGCCAGTGCTAACGGGGATTCTCATAGCAGCAAAAGAAATAACCAGAAACAATATCACTAGAAGGAACATGCTCATCTCTACAGATAGCAGACAAGCACTACTCACCCTGAACAGACCACAAATTTATTCAGGGTTAGTACTAGAATGTCACGAAGCTTTGGCCGAAGTATCCATCAACAATGTGGTCACCTTAAGATGGATCAAAGGTCACGTTACATCGAAAGGTAACCGTCTTGCCGATTCAAAAGACAAGAAAACAGTCAACCAAATACTTTTTGGACCTGGCCCTTCTATTGGCCTGACAAAATCGGTAGTGACAGACCTAATTAAAGAACATTCCCTTGTGAAATTCAAGGAAAGATGGGATGAAACAAGAAACTGCAGAGTTGCCAGGAAGCTCTTAAGTTATCCTGACAACACTGTAGCAAACAAATACTTGACTATGACCAGATATAATCTGCGCCTGGTCACAGGCATTCTGAGATGAGACCATCGAGCATATCCTTTACGATTGCTCGACGCTCTCATTTATTATTTCGGCGAGTATCGGCTAACACCGGCCGATATAAGAGAAGCACCTCTTGGCGACGTTATCAACTACATTAAATCTGTAAGGTGGTACACGAGCTAGGATGTGCCTATCATCTTAGGAGGATGCACAATACGCCTAATGAGGCCTAAGTGCCGTGGGGGTAACCCACCCTCCACACGTTACAGATACAGATAAATACTTTCAGTAACATAAAAACATTAAAAAAACAAATTGATACTGGCACCAAGATTATTTTGGTTATGTTATGTTCAAGCGTTGAGTCTATAAATTGTTTGAACACATTCTAATTTTCCAAAAAATACCTAATATAATCTGATTTTGTAAATAATTTACTGTACGATTAGATTAAATTCGGAAGAAATTGGACATTATTTGTCCTTGTCATGTTATGCATTTCTGGTTGTTCTTCACCTAGTGTTAGAAATTCCAACCTAGCCAGGGCTTCACACTGGCACAGGATGTGAACTGATATATTTTCTTCTTTTTCTTTTTATTATTCTTCTTCTTCACAATGTTGCTTCTTCTGCAGGACTGATGACATTGATGTGCTTTCTTAGGCGACAGTGTCCGATAACCTAACCTACTGTTGTCCTAACGATTTGTCGTTTTTGATACAGTAGGTCTTTCGTGAACTTAATTAACTTTTTGGTCTGTCTCAATCCTGCATCCACTATTTTTTTATGGATTCCTTGCAGATATCTTAGCAAACTCCATAGAATGTTTTGCAGCCTGTCATGACCTTATCTGGACCTTCTCGGGCTAGATTGTCAGCCTTTTCATTGCCCTGATATCCTCTGTGGCCTAGTACCACTTTGTTTTGACTAATTAGTTCTGTCAGGTCTTCTAGTCAGTTTTTGAGCAGTCGTGATTTGATTTCTGTTGAGAGAATTGCTCTTAGAACTGCTTGGCTCTATGATACTATACAATTCAAATTGTACAATAAATTGTGTCAAATCTTGTACAAGAAATTGTGTAATGTAAAACATTCTTAACTCAGTGCCTGATGAAGATAAAACACAGACTGAGAAAACCATGAAACGGCCCTAAATACTGGAGATAATGAGACAATCATATTTTTTTGACTTTATTATTTTTTGCAACAATATTTTTTTTTAGATAATATGGAGTACAGAAGAATCGTTCAAAAAGAATTCATGTTCCAAACTGTGACCAACGGAACCTTTAGTGTGGATACCTTCTTTTTTGCTAGTGGACTCTTGGTATCTTTTCTATACTTTAGAACGAATGCAAAGGGGTCATTGGACTCTTTGAACAAGGGTAACCGTTTCATAGCTGGAATATTACATTTCCTGGGACTGATCGCTTATAGATTTGCAAGGTTATTATTATTACTCCAAACTTAAATAGACATAACTTGTTAAATTATTAAAAACTTGTTTATTTATTTACAGGTTGACTGCACCATATCTTTTTACCATCGGTATTGTCGAAATATCAATGAAATGGTTTACATTTAATTCAGTATTTGAACCTCCTACTATGGATCATGTAAACTGTCCAAATTATTGGTGGAGAAATGTTTTGTACATTAATACTCTATTTCCTGTAGACGAAATGGTAAGATAATTTCTTTACTACTAGATTAGAATACTTTTCCCCTTATATATTACTTTTCGAATGAACAGCATTATTATTGAATGAATAGACATTATTATTAGTCCACAAAAATAGAGATTTGCCTAACAGTCAGATCTACAAACTTTTTGCCAGAAATACCTTTGTTTATTTTAAGATTTGATTTATTTATGAGACATAATGTGACACATTCTACAAACATACTGTGCATTTTTAACTTTCTTTTTTTTTAAATTTTAGTACTATCCATTCCATAAGTTCAAAATAGATTAAACTTTTCATTTTATCGTGCCCTTTTAACAATGAGTTTATGTTATTTTATTTTCAGTGTATGTTATGGAGCTGGTACTTGTCAGACGATACTCAATTTTATATTGTTGGAGCTATCATGCTAATTCTAGCAACAAGGTAAATATTTATACAAATAATTTAACTATTCCCTATTTCCTTGTTTGTATTTTATGCTTTCTAGTTATTTTAACCAAATAGTCATTGGAAAAATTTGCAGCATACAATTCTTCTGTTTAAGTGTCAACTTGGATTTAGTTCAGAGCCGTGAGTAGTTATCACGGACATCACTCGTATCTTTGTCAGTAATGACCTATTTTGGAAACCTTCTTTGTAGATCACTCTTTAAAAATTGCGCTAATCTTATTTAATTCTAGTGTTAATCTGTCTACTAGTTTGCCTCATGTATACTTTATCACAAACAATAATACATTAAGTTCCAGATTTTTCCAGTTCTTCTGACTGATAATTTTTTTTTTAATTTTTAGCCATTTCAAGACCGCTGCGGCACTAGTGATCACATTTATGTTAAGTTCTTGGATAACTACCGGTTACATAGCATTTAGTAATAGCCACGTACCTGGTACTGACGATCCTCTAGCATTGTTCGATAAAATTTATGATAAACCTTGGACGAGATTCGGCCCCTACCTTATCGGAATGAGCATTGGTTGGTACTTGTTTAAGAAAGATTGCAAAATTCGTATGCCAAAGGTAAGCTTTATGTTTTTTTCTGATTATGAAAATAGTCGGGGGTTTATTTTGACAGTCCAGTTTAAAGGCTCCTATACACGATAGGCCATGGATGGGCCATTGCAAAATTCTACCTTCTCTGACCTTTTTTTTTAAAAATAATACTTTCTTTACATCTGTTTTTATCTTTTATAACTTTATTTAACTTTTAACTCTTCACAATCTTTTCAACATCTTATACTATCATTAAACATATAAGAGTCACCAAAAGTAGGGAAAAAGGATACCACACATCCTAAATCCTTCCGACCAATCAGCCTCACATCTTTTATATTAAAAACAATGGAGAAGGCTGTTGATAATTATATTAGAACAGAAGTCCTGGAGAGGGTGCCACTCCACCACAGACAACACGCGTACCGAGCAGGAAGATCTACAGAAACTGCCCTGGTACAGCTGACTGACGTAATCCAGGATGCACTGACAAACAAAGAAACGGTCGTGTGTGCCTTCCTAGACATAGAAGGAGCTTTTGACAACACGCAACACGAATCTGTAAGAAGAGCACTTGCATACAGAGGAGTAGATAACATCACATCCAGATGGATGTATACATACTGCGATGGATGTATACTGCAATAGTGATACCAATCATCAATTACGGGGCTATAGCACAGAACTAGTTTAGCTACTACGAGAGCTAATATCTCAAAAGTACAAAGACTAGCCTGTGTTTGCATTACTGGTGCAATGAGAACCTGTCCTACGGCCGCAATGGAGGTGATCTTAAACCTCGCCCCTCTACATTTGATGACAGAGAATGTGGCAAAAAGGACACGATATAGAATGATCAGGAACGGAGTAATCAGACGAAAGTCTACTTGCTTCAGGACTAAAGATACCTGGGACATGCCCCAGGATGAAATGCTAAAGAAGTACAGTTTTGTGAAAAACTTCAAAACCAGAGAGCCAAGAATCCATCGCGCTTGCAACCGAAAGACGTGCTATCGAGAGAAACTATCATAGACAAGAGATTATCATCATGTCCGATAGTCAAGCAGCCATCAAAGCGCTGAGCTCTTACGTAATCAACTCAAAAATGGTCTGGAGATACCTAGAACAATTGAATGAGCTAGGCGAGAAAAATAGTTACTCTCACTTGGATCCCGGGACATAACGGGGTACAGGGTAACGAGATTGCAGATAGTCTTGCAAGGAAAGGGGCTCAAACACCCTTTGTAGGACCTGAGCCGTTCTGCGGTATCAGCAGTAACATAATATTAGGAGAGATTAAAAAAGAATTGGGCAGTAGAAGAACCGATAATTGGAACAATCTCTTGGGGCTGAGACAGGCCAAGATACTTCTGGGTGAATATAACCAGAAAAGATCGGAAGCCTGCATTTGCTTGAGCAAGAACAGGCTACGTATTGTAACAGGGATCACTACCGGGCATTGCCGACTAAAAGGATACCTAAGTAAACTGAGAGTAGTAGAGGATAGTGAGTGAAGATTCTGTGAGCAGGAGGAGGACGAAACCTCCATTCATACCCTAACTGAATGTATAGCACTCCAGAATCCAAGGGCACTATATCTAGGAGGATAGCAAATAGAAGAGAGAGATTTACCCAACTTAAAGCCACTTCAAATCCTACACTTTCTTGAGAAAATAGGATTCGAAGGGTCGTTATAGGCATTGAGACATTTCCTTAGTGCTCTGGCGATAGAAGGGGGCACAATAGATCTTTTAGGTCGCAGTGTATTAACGCCCCATTCTCAACATAACATCTTTAAACATTTTCCTTCTCTAATTTTAGCATCTAATAGAAAATTTTTAAATCCCATCTTAAAAATATCAATCCAATTACAATCCTAAAAACCATATGCTCGAAGTAAAAACCCCTCTGACCCAAAAATAAAAATTTTAAATCTAGTTACCATTGACGTTAAAACTCTATGGCCGTTTCGAATATCTTATTGACGTCAACGATACAGAACGAAAACATGACTTTTAAACTGAAATGACAATATATTGTAATGTTCTATATTTTAATAGTAAGCTAATTATTAATGATCTGTTAATGATTTCAAGTACTTCTTGATGACATAAAACCATAGAAACGACATAAACACTGCGATGACTGACTGACGGAAAAGTGTAATCAAAATGGCGACTTACGACAGTCTTTTATTGATTTATGGATATATCATTTAATTGAAGCTATTTTAAAAATATGGCATTTATTCTTATCAAAACTAAGCTAAGCTCGAGTTTGACACATGACGTAAAAGTGTAATGCAAAGGTGCGGACACTTTTAATATCGTCATCTCCTCTTTATTTTATCTCAATACAGTACGACAAGATTGAGATGGCAAGTCAGAATTAAATGCGCACTGGCAAATCTAAAAATGGGAGGAGTTATCTCAGTTAATGGCTGAACTCGATGCTACTGTTTCAGCGATCTATTTGTGTTCACTTGTACAACGTTGCCAAATACATCTATTCTGAATTTTTGCCAATGGGCATCTAATTTTGACGTACCATCTCAATCTTGTCATACTGTACGTAAAAAATTACATTTATTCACATATGAAATGTCAAATTTATTTGTCTTTGAGTAGTGACTATGAAGACTCTCTAGTCTTCATAGTAGTGACTTATGATTACAGAAGAAAGCGTATCGCTTCTTTTCAGGTCCAAATCATTGACGCCATCTTTAAATCAAGTATAGATTTGCATCTTGCATCAGCCTCAAGTCAACGTCCTAATTCAATTCAAAATTACATCATGAAATTTGACATTACCTAATTCTAAAGTTTGTTGACAGTTGAGTTACAAAATTATCAGCATTTTTGTATGACTTTGTAATATTTTATCGTCGTCACCAAAGACGAAAAACTACTATACTAATCCATTTATTCATGATTAAGCCCTTTTTATTTCAATCATTACGGATTGTGTTTATTATTACGCAGACAGAGCTGTCGCATTAGAAAGAAGGAGACAGCTGTTAATTTAAGTGGGAATGATTTATGCGAGTATGTTTATCTGAGTAGCGAGCATGCATATGATAAATGAATCAGTATTTACGTCTACTACGCTTGCTTTACATTGCTGTCACACTTCAAAATTAATTGCATACTTTCCTGAAAAACACTGTACAACTATAATAGTTGCAACGAGAAAAATACAATAAACGGATAATAACTGGCATTACGAATGCAAATATACTTCCCTATAGTTTAATTTTGAAAGCTTTTTGTGCGCTATAGAGCCTTATGTTTAGTCAATACCGAATTATATCCATAAACACTCTTTGTAACATTACTATCTTATAATAATTTGACAACTATGTGGATGACACCGTGAATGTTTACAATTCGATTTTTGTAAACAAAATTAGTCTAGTAGTTATTCGTCGTTGGACGTTACCTATTCTATTCTATATTTAATAAAATTAATATTTTAGTGGGTGCTTATTGTCGGATGGATCCTGTCTACATCAGTTCTGCTGTCTTTAGTATATGGATTATATGATCAGAGGCTGGCACCATGGTTAGGAGCAACTTACAGCGCTCTCAGTCACTCTGCTTGGGCACTTGGTTTAGGATGGATTGTTGTGGCCTGTGTTACTGGTTACGGAGGTAATAATTTTATTTTTACTGTTTAAATAAAAGTCATACCTATTATTATACAGCATGGTTTTAATGAAAAGAATAAATTCATTATTTTGCAAACCGGCGATTTTAAGGAAAAATTCTAAAACACGTCGATTTTTATTTGTAAATGTCATCTGCGTAAGCGTGATGACGTCATCGAATGCAGGTATTGTAATATATCATTTGAAAAGTCTTTTAAATGTCTATTCAGCCATAAGTTTTAAGTAATTGATTTTTGTTTAGTGTTAAAAAACTATGAAATGCCAATAGATTTCTTAACATAAATTAGTAATTATTTTTGTCATAAAAATTAATTTTAATATTTTTCAAATTTGACAGAAACCATCGAGTTTCGATGTTTAGAGTCGCCAAAATGCTGATTTTTTAGAAATTAAATAATTTTTTTCGGCTTAAATAATGCATTTACCGCAAATTTTTTAAATGTACTATTTAAAATACTGATAAAATATAAATTTCTTTAAAATTCCATACACACCGCAACAAAATGGTGTCTCTGAACGGATGAACAGAAGTATAATGGAAAAAGTCAGATCTCTGATGAACGACTGTTTGTGCGACTTACGTTTTTGGGCTGAAGCAGCTAATACAGCCGTTTACTTATTAAATAGATCCCCTACGAAGATTCTACCTCGAGTAACACCTCAAGAAAAGTGGACTGACAAAAAAGTAAACCTTAATCATCTTAGAATATTTGGATGTAAGGCTTATGCTCGAATCCCAGACGAAAAACGGCACAAGTTGGAACCAAAAAGTAAAAAACTCGTATTTGTAGGATATTCAGAAAAGTTTAAAGCGTATAGACTCTTTGATCCTAAAACTAAAGGCGTGTCCAAGGCCCGAAATGTTATATTTTTTGAAAATGAATACGAAGACATAATGTAAATAATAATAATGTAGTGGACCAAATACTACTAAAAGATATTTTTCGAATCGATTCACAAACAGAAAGTAGAAACGATCTATCGTGTTCAAATGAAGAGTCACTAGTCGAAGAAGACGAAGATGGGCTTCAACGACAAAACACTCTAGAAGAAAGTACCTCGACAAATCAAATTAATTCAAATACCACTGAATCCAGGTACTTATTACGAAATCGAAACCCCCCGAACTACTCAGGTCTCTATACTCATCAAGCAGTCATTGATCATATTGAAGAACCACAAAGTGTTAATGAAGCACTTTTTGGCGATTACACAGCAGAGTGGATGGCTGCGATGTAGGGTGAAATCAATTCGATGAACGATAATAAAACCTGGAAGATTGTAAATAAGCCAAAAGAATGCAAGTCAATGATTAAGTTAAAATGGACATTCAAACTAAAAATAGATGCCGATGGAAACGTTACTCGATTCAAGGCTAGACTCGTGGCAAAAGGTTTTACCCAAAAATATGGAATTTACTATTCCGAAACCTTTTTACCAGTAATTAGACATTCCTCAATCCGACTTCAGTTATCGCTCGCAGTACAATACGATTTAAGTATGAAACACTTAGATATCGTTACCGCTCTCTTCTATGGGAAACTGGAAGAGGATATTTACATGTCTCAACCAGAAGATTTCATCGTTGAGGTGGAGGAAAACAAGGTGTGTCATCTTCAAAAGGCCATATATGGGCTAAAGCAATCAGCAAGAGCTTGGAACAGGCGATTAGATGAAGCTCTTACAGATCTCAATGTTTCAGTTTATACACTGCAACTCGGATAATACAATATATGACAACCGCCTATAATAAAACAGCAGTCTTCTGCGTATCCTGAATTTGTATCCCTGGAGTGGATGTTATTTTGGAACTTTCAACTGGTCTGAGTGAGCTAACTGATTCTTTAGCAATAAACTGTGACTTCAAAAATAATATTCACTGACACTGACAGCAGCAAGCAAAATATCAGGTGCGTTTTAATCATCCGCTTCTGCTTCCGGAATTGTCGGTTTAGTCGTTTTAACCTGTCAGATTAAAACAAGAAAACCGACAATTCCGAAGCAGAAGCGGATGATTAAAACGCACCTATTAAAAATATTGCGCCAAGATGTAGGCAACACGTAATAAGGGTTCAAAATGGTGGAGTTTTCTATCTCCTTTTAAAATGCACTCAGAAAGCTGCGCAGTGCGACCATTCTCCGTATAGTAAAAGAAAATTAAAGTATGTGTACTATACGGAGAATGGTCGCACTGCGCTGCTTTCTGAGTGCCTTTTAAAAGGAGATAGAAAACTCCGCCATTTTGATGCCTTATTACGTGTTGCCTACATCTTGGCGCAATATTTTTAATATTTTGCTTGCTACTGTCAGTGTCAGTGAATATTTGCCGCGTTTGAGAATCCACATCGCGCGAATGCATCTGAGATGTAGTAAATCTTTGATCACGTAATTCAGTATACGTAAATGTAATGGGACAGATATATCCGATGTAATCGAGATGTAAAAAATGTATCTGATGTAGATTCTCAAACGCGGCAATTATTTTTGGAGTCACAGTTTATTGCTAAAGAATCAGTTAGCTCACTCGAACCAGTTGAAAGTTCCAAAATAACATCCACTCCAGGGATACAAATTCAGGATGCGCAGAAGACTGCTGTTTTATTATAGGCGGTTGTCATATATTGTATTATCCGAGTTGCGCAGTGTATAAACTGGAACATTAAGTTCAAAAGTGGCGACGCAGAGTGAGCGAACTGATTATTTAGCTATAAACTGTGGCAAAGGCATCAAATTGGGTGCGTTCACCAGACGTCAGCAGTTAACTTTAAGCGCTAAACGGCTGGGCATTAACATCCGGCAGCAGATGGAAATTGGCTGAACGCTTCGTTGACCGTTGGGTCTCTGTCTGTCACAAAACTGTCAGATTAGACTGTTGAACATAACCTTATAATTATTGGCTGATGCTGATCCTCATCAGAAAACAGTGAAAACACCAAACTGTAGGTTGACAAATTTTCTGTATTAGTTTCCATAATATGTACGTTTAAAAATTACTGCGCATGTCTAAACATATGTTGAGTCGGCTCAGCGCAATGAACTGGAGTGGGGTAGAATGCTTGTCAATAGGCTTGAGATGCGACTCTATGGGCGAAGACAGGTTATTTTTCATCTCACTCAGGAGTATTTATAACGACCATTTTCTATTTCACTTTGTTATTGTCTGATCCACCAGCCTGTTGATTGAACAATAACAATGTGAAACAGAAAATGGTTATTATAAATACTCCCGAGTGAGATGAGAAATAAAAATGGCTGCGCCCATAGAGTCGCATCTTGTTCAATTGATAAAATATGCACATTAGCTTTCTACCCCTCTCCAGTTCATTGGCTCAGCGCAAATTCATCGCGCTGGGTGAAATTTGCAGCAGATGACATTCAGCGTAAAGTCATCGTGTCTGCCGAACGCGATCGCTTACTCAACAACTCAACTGTTGCCGTCTGGTGAACGCACCCAATGGCCGCGCCCTATGTTGGGCGTGTCGGACCTCTCTCTTGCACCGTATAGTAATCAAATTATGTGGAAAGGATAGACAAAGGTGACATCACCGTCGAATATCTCTCAACTTCAGAAATGATAGCACTATATGTGTTTTAATCACGTATGTTAATGATATTGTTAATGTCATGAAAAATTAAAAAAAGTTACTACTCGTTTCTTTAAAAGAATTATTTCCAATTATAAATCCAAAAAGAATTCCCAATAAATTTTGATTGCGTCCTCAACTAAGTCGTTATCAGGGGCGTACATACGGGGGAATAATGGGGGTAATTTTAAAACCTAAATTTTTATAGGTACTTAAATGATTATCATTAAAAATAAACTCTAAATATTACCCCACAGACTTACACTTACACACAATCGTGATCTGTGTTTTTCCGATTAAAAACCACATTTTTCCTAAGTACCTACATGAACAGGGTGTCTGGTATGAGGCATGGTTAAAAGATCTAGTTATAGATTTGAAATTTTGGTCAATTATATATAGGTAAAGATTAGGCGTACATTTCAAAAATAATTTTAGATACAGGTAAATGTGTTCAGGAATGATTTGGTGGTATCAGCATTTTATCAGAGAAACCTGTATAAAAACAATATACAATATACAAATTTAAATCATTGTCGGACAATTTTAATAGAAGACTGGTAAAAAAAATGTTCTTTAAGAAGGGAAATGGCTTGGTTTGAAGATGACCAATGTTTTGTTTGTTGCTTTTGTTTTCCTATTCTGGTATTAAATTTGAGCATCTTTATTATATTTGAGAATGTACAAATAATTTAAAGCTTTTAAATGACTGAAAAATAAAAGTAACAAAAATGATAATTTCAGGTGTGGTTGATAAAATTCTTTCGGCTACTATCTTCTATCCCTTCAGTCGTGTGACGTACTGTGCTTACTTGGTGCACCCTATCGCCATCAGAGCCATGGTGATGAGTATGGACAGTCCTCTACATCTTGGCAGCATTGTTACTATTATTATTTATTTAGGACAAATGGTTGTAGCTTTTGTGTTATCTTTTATTGTATCTGTAGTTTTTGAAGCGCCTATAGTGTCTTTACTGAGGATTATTGCTAAATTCCATAGAAAATAGTTTTTTTCCCGGTCGTTATTTTTGTGAAATATTTTCCTTGGAATTATCGACCATTTATTTTTTTTGTTAAAGACTTATTAACTTGTGAAAACAATAAAATTTGTTTTAATGCAGTCGATAATTTGCAGGAAAATTTTGTTAAGGTTGTTATAATGGGAATAAAATAAAAGAAAACTAAAATGTGACTAAATGGACAAAAGTTGGAAAGGATTTTGGTAGGTGGAGAGGTGGTAAATGTCGAACCCCGACGAACGAATTTCGAGATAATTTTTGTTCGCCAGTGTCCCAAAATCGGGAAATCGTGTCTATTTATGATCTAAAAATTATTATTTAAACAATTATTAATATCGCAAATTATAATTTTACCAAATTTCAACTGCTATTCACAATTTATTGAACTATTTACTTAAAACTGTAATTAACATCTATAAAATAATTTTCTAGCTCCGCGGTAAAAATGTGAAATCCTGTGTATGAAGTGGTAGATCTGGAAAAAGCTTTTCCAACTTCTGTCCCTACTCTAATTAGAAATTTTGTATATAATTTATTTTTATACTTTCGTATTACTTAAAGAATACTCAACACAAAATAAAGTAAGACAAAAAATACACTGTGTCAATACTATAATGTTTATTATCACTTTGGATTAACGTTGTACCTTGTTTGAATTTGAAAAAAATAGTAAAAAATGATAGAAGTTAAATGTGCAGAAATGTGTTTTGCTGTTCTCTTCAAACAATAGTTTTCGGGAATTATCTTTAAGTAGTTTCCTGAATTAATTCATCTACATTCTATGATTATGTTCCCAATAGTATCAAACTTTAATTTTTAATAACATCACAAGAAAGTTGAAGTTGGAACCTGATAGAATCTGGAGGTATTCTCATCCACCTCTAGCACATTGATCCAGACAAAATTTTGACATATAACTGATTATCCATAAATAACCGAATTACATTTTTTTAAATGAGACACTTTAAAATTTATTTGGTGTTGAGTATTGATAGTTTAGTCAAAAAGTAGTAATAGATTGTAGAAAATTTAGCGTTTTTGAAATAGTCTGAACTACTTTCTAATAATGCTGGTCGGATATCATTTTTATTATACTTGACATTTCCTTTGTATTCAAAAGCAACAATCCTCTGTTAAACTTTCACTTTACTAAATTTGTTGGTAATTAATATTCATGTTATTACAAATCATTATGACGTCAAATAATATTTCTATACCTTACATTATCGATAATTGAATTCAAATTTATTATTTTTTTTTTCAACAAGACAGAGTTTAGAAATACTTAATTTTTAAAATAGTAAACATAAAAATTTTTCTTGGAAATAATGGGCGAAGTTGAAGACAAAAATGTGAAGTAAATAAAAATGTTGTATCTTTCTATGCTGTAAAAAAATATTAGAAGATAATTGATTTTAAAATAGCTAATAAGGTGAATATGTGAATGAAGCATGAATACTTGTGTTATATTGAAGAGAAAAAGTGATATTAGATTAATTTTTATAGGTTATATTGATTCATTTGTGATTATAAAAATAGCTATAGGTACTACTCTAGTTTTTAATAATTGTTCAATAACTGAAACAAATAGAAAATAATAATTGGTCTTGCCAATGTAATTTTTATACTACTGTTAATCATATTCCAAAAAAAATTAGAAATAATAAAGTCGATGAGTATTTTCAAAATGTTTTTAAGGTTTGTAACATTGTATGTTCTTAGAATACGTGTAAAAGCCAAAGGCATTTATTTGTAATAAATTGAGTGTAAATGTACTTATTTATAAAAAGCGAATAAAGACTTTTTAATAACTGAATTATTTACCTAACTTCACTTTTTAACCAGATACCATATTTTCTATGATACATAAGGGTGGCCCAGTTGAAGACCCATCAAACTATAGAGGAATCGTATTGGTTAATTCATCTGCAAAAATTTTTACCAATATTATTCTGGATCAATTATCTGAATGGACAGACATTTGTAACATTTTACAGGAATGTCAAACTGGATTTCGTGGTTGTATCGACAATGTCTTCACCTTGAGCTCTCTGATACATCTGCACATCAGGCTACGAAAAAGAAAGCTTGCTATATTTGTTGATTTTAAAAGGGCTTTCGACTCAATCACCTTTTACTGTGGTCGAAACTATTCAACTTTGGAGTAAAAGGCAATAATGGTATTACTAAAACATTTGATATAAATACGGGAGTGCTACAGAGCGAGCCTATGAGTCGACTAGTTTTTGCATTATTTATAGCAGACATAGAATCTTTTGTCTACGAAAAGGGCGCTCAAGGTGTTAACATTGACGATAGAAATGATATTTTGGCATTACTTTACGCTGACGATCTAGTTCTGTTTGCACATTCCCAGGTAGATGTATCCAAAAAACTTAAAATATTAGAGCAATCAACTTCATTGAATTATTTAACAGTTAATAACTCCAAAACAAAAATTATGCAATTTTCTAAGGGTGGGTTCCAGAAACCAAAATGTTGCTTTTATTTTAATAATGAGTTGATTCCAGTTTCTAATGAATGTTTACCTTGGAGTAACGTTACATCTTCCTCCCTTTTTAATCAGATGGCCAATAATACGTCAAATAAAGCAAAAGAAGCTTGTTGGAGCAGTCATCCCCATTGTGTCCAAAGCAAGAATTAATACAATGCATCCTAGAATTAAGTTTTTTGAGTCTTTGGCCCTTAGTGTAATGTTTAATTGCGTTGCATCATGGGGCTTAAGATACATGGAGCTGCTTGAGAGAGTTCAGTTAAACTTTTTGAAAAGGATACTTTTACCACAGAATACGTATATCCCAGAATCTCATCTTGCGGTGGAAGGGGAAAGTCAGATTTCTATCGATGCGTTTGGAATAGCAAGCACAGATTAGCCTAGATCATTGGCGTGTCCGATAGTTTTATATTTGCGCTGTGTATAAATTTCAGTGGTGGCGTTGATTTTTCGCGTTTAATTGTGTTTAATCGTGTTTAATTTATTTTATATGACTGGGTCAGATACAATAATTGTAGGCATGGAGGATGATGGTTTGGGCTCAACAAAATTTAAATCGGCCACCAATGCATCTGTTTTTATGATTAAGGGGATAAAGACTAAGTGGATTCAACCACTGTGTTATAATTTTTTTAATACAAGGTGTCCAGCAAAATCCTTAAAAATTATTATTGATGAATTGGTTATAAAACTAAAAAATATCGGTTTAACTGTTTGTGTTTTACTGACAGATTTGGTATCTAATTATATACAGTTAAAAAATTTATTAAAGATAAGTTCAACCCAACCTTATTTTTTTTTTAAATAATCAAAATTTTTTTTATATGTTTGATCCTCTCCATTTAATAAAGGCCGTAAGGAATAATTTACAAAAAGATAATTTTGCAAAACCGGACGGTAAAGAAATATGTTGGAAATATATTGAAGATTTTTATAATCACGATAAAAAATATCCCATTAGAGCTGCTCCAAAATTAACAGATAAACACTTATATCCAAACAACTTTGAAAAAATGATAGTAAGATATGCTACTCAACTTTTTAGTAACACAGTTGCTTCGGGTATGATAGTATACTCAAGATTTGGCTTTATTCCGGCTTCTGGTGAGGATACAATAAAATTTATTATAATGATGGACCAGTTATTTGACTTACTAAATTCATCACAAATGTCTGACGTAAAACAATTTAAAAAGGCCTTTAAAGGTAATAACTATCAGATTGATTTTTTAAGGGAATGTGAAGAGTTTTTTGACAAAGTTAGTGTGATAACTAAAAATGGTGATGATTTCACCAACCGGGTAAGGTTTGTAAAATGTTTTAAAATAACTATTAATTCACTGATTCAGCTATGGACAACTTGTTTAAATAAACATTTAAGCTTTCTGTTTACAAGAAGATTAAATCAAGATTGCCTTGAACATTTTTTTGGGTCCATTCGGCAACAAAATGGCAGTTGCTTTAATCCTACCTCTATACAATTTAAAAGAACTTTTAAAAAATTATTATGTATAAAGATGCTTCATTCCGGTACAGAAAACTGTGAAGGAGACTCTGAAAAAATATTAATTAAATTAACTGATATTCAGCAGTTTGAGGAAGTATCCGATCAACCTACTCCTCCACAATTTTCTGTACCCGAGAATGAAGCCATTGAAACAGACTACAGAAAAAATAATAACCTACAAAAAAATTTTTAAAGATACGTATGTGGTTATTTAATTAAAAAATGTTTAAATAAACACACATGTACCATTTGTCAAGATTATAGTAATGAAATAAAGGATCTTGATGATTCAACAATATTTTGTCTTCAAAAAGCATATGAGACTAAACATAATACTTTTGAAAATTTATTGATGCCTAGTGACAGCTTTCTTTATTTTATTATTCAATTAGGAGTTGTGTTTGATAATAATTTTGTAAATGTTTGTCTTTCAACCACAATATTAAAACAATTACTCAATTTAAGCAGTCCTGTTATATTCCATCATCCATGCCAACAATTTCCTATAAACTATGTAGTTAAACTGTATTTTAGATTAAGAATATTTTATGCAGTTAAGAATATTAATAGAAATTTTAAGAGTTCTGATAATAAAACAAAAATGTTAATTTGGAAAAACTTATAATAATTTGGTTTACTTTATTTGATTTATTTTATGTATTTATAAATTAGTTTTTCTCCGATTGACATTAAACGTCAGTTTTAGTGACATTTATCGATCATAGAAGTAACACATTTACTGCCTAGGCAGTAAAAATTATTTTTAATGCCTAGGCATTAAAAAAATATTTATTTTCTTTTTTTTTAAATCTTGCTCTGCATGAGTATCCGATCAAAAAAGTTACTCTAGTAAATTTAGTCACTGTATAATAAATTAACCATCTTAGGGACATTCTGGACCGGTTAAAAATAAGTTAAAAAATAACGATAATTGTCGCGTTATTAGCGATGACTTTTACTGGTTAA